TTTTTTTTGGTGTGTGTATGTATGTGTGTGTTACTGATGTCTCCTTTGTACATGGAATAGCAACATACACACAAATAAGAAAGCAGAAATTGCAGACATACGTATATAAAAAAAAAAAGCTGTATCATTTTTCGTATTTTATTCTGTGATGGAACCAGTTATTCTCACTGGAGATACGAATAATAACGGAAATGGAACTGATCCTAGGTAAGACATATGTTAATAGATATTAAAAAATAAACATTTTTACATTCAAATTAACAATTGACATCGGGCCTAATCAGTTAATATATGACCTTTTTAAATATCGCTTGGTATCCAGTCAGATCGATATATTATCTTGACCTTGCGTATATGTATATATGTAATCAATAATTTCGGTAGGACATTTTTTTTTTTGGTATATGTATATAGACATTCAGGGCAGGGCAAAAGTTAGGTACCCCGGAAGAAACCTTTGGCATATCTTTGTCATACATTGACCAAATGAATTCAAGTTTTCTTTTTCCACTGGCAATAAGGATGTGCTCATTGTTTATATCTGTAAGAAAACCATGAGAAAATACAATCTTTTGTGGTATCTTTTTCACATATGTGTGTGGACTAGTAATTATAATGAATTGCAAAAAACAGTATGTTTATTCTTATGATCGTAAATAACAAGTATGCAATGTTTTAAACCAACAATTTAGATGATGGCTGTTTGTTCCTTAACTTGTGTCGTGGGTATATAATTTAGTAATTAGTTTAACTTGAAAGTTTTAGCCATATAAATAATTAAAATTATTTAGAAAAAAAAAATTTTATTTATTTTCATACGTAATTATAAATCGCAAGTTTATATTTATGTCAAAAATAATATTTTACGACAATATTTTTCATAGATTTTTCTTATGAATATAAACTATGAATATTCCTTTATTGTCAGTGACAAAAAAAAAAGATCAGTTCATATGATTATAATATAGCAGACATTATCAAACTATCCTTTTTAAGAATATAATCATTTTTTTATATTCAGAAAAAGATCATAGTATTTCTTGTTATTTTCTTTGAAGAGTTTCATAAATTATTTTTTAAATAGATAATGAGACACACAATTTTTTTCTTGATGTGATATGAGTTTGATCATAAGTAAAATTTGATTCCTTATTTTCGGGATTTCAACAGCATTTATCGACATCTATTGATAGATTTATTGACGGAATCGCGGCATTATAATCGATCGATTTCGCTAAATGTCAATGTAAAAAATGAGATCTGTATATGAATACATGAGTATGCCATAAAGACTATCATTAAACACATGTGAACAACATTAATAGAGATCGATTTCAATTTTCGTTTCGTTTCATTGAAAAAATTCATTAATGAATATGTAGTGCTCTAGACGATCGAATATCTATTCGAATGTTATTTAGTCATTTTTTTTCTTTTTCTACCTCAATGAAAAGTGTTTCCGATTATAGACGACCATTTGGTTGCCATTACTTGAGGGTACATTAAACTTTTTTCTTTTTTTTTTTATTTTATTTGTGTGACAAGTGATCGGGCCATTCCTTCGTTCCGATCGATCTCTTGTCTCTCTCTCTCCCTCTCGTCTTCATCCTTTTTTTACCAATTGATTTCTTTTTTTTGTTTCTTTATTTTATGCATTTAAAAAAATTTATTTTCTTTTTCTTTTGTATAATATTTGACGGAAGCGAAGTAGAATGTCGAGGGAAAACAAGAATTTTCTATCGATTTTCTTCCTTTTTTTTCTCTGATTGAAAATGAAACGAGAGTGTGCAATCGCTTTCCCTTCTTTTTTTTTTTTTTTTACTCCTCTCGCGTTACCTATTTAAATTGATATGATGATGCGACTACAGTGGCGGCAGCAAACGATCGAACAACACTGCATACTTTTACTATCGTTCTCTTTTTACAATCGTTATTGAACATATATACATATATATTTATATTGATTGCTGGGTTTGATAGATATAAAGAAAGAAAAAAAAAACCCGAAGAAGTGCGAATAGAGATTGTTTCGTTCGTATATGTATATAGTTATCAATTCGTCCTATTATGTACTGTCTATTATAGTCATTGCTACAAGATGAAAAGTTCTACTGACGAACTAAATGAAGTAAGTAGGCAAACAGAATTAAAATACATTTGAGTTTTTTTTTTCTTTTTGCAAAATTATACACATTACTACACATATGATTAGCACGTAACCCTTTGCAGCACTTATAGTCGATGGCGCTTGTGCACTATCATCACCATGTATATACATTTTTTGTATATATATATTTGCATATAAACACGATGAACACTTATCAATATAAACAGAAAAAAATTATCTTGCTCTGTTACTAGAAGGACCAATCGGATTTCGATCCGACAATATCCTATTGCTTTATGTCCTTAATCCCATTCACTTTCATTCACTGCTTTGTGTGTGTGTGTTTTGTGTGATTTGTTGTTGCACCTCGACAATAAGAGAAGAAATCTGGTGAATATCAAGTTATCCCTAGACGAAGACAAGTATTCCCTAGATGATGATTAAGATAAATATATATATATATACCGCACACAGATTGTTTCGTTCGTGTATATATATATATACAAAAAAACATAGAAAAAATATACTTTTAGCATTGATCAATGGGAATCGATCGACTCAATATGTCGAAGTACGGACATATATACATGTGGAGACTATGACATCGAAATAGAGGACAAAAAAATAGCTTTTAGTCGAGTTGAGAATAGTACGATAATGTTATCACGCAATCATGTTTCGGACATAATTAGTCACGCTATCATCGTTATTGTAGATGAACGAAAGAAAAATCTACTGAACCGCAAATATCCATCATTATTAATTGTTCCAATGAAATAAGAATAGTTTTTTTCTTTTAATGCTCTGTATAGAAGAAAAACACCTTTTGTTAATCTATTATGAATGTTATACTTTTGAGTTCGTTGCATTAAAAAAAAATTGACTTGATCTTCTCGAATTACATGATGTATGGCACTACATCTATCGTATGCCAAGTAACCTTTTGATTACACTTTTACTTTTCTTTTCGTTTTATGATTACAGAAATTGGAATTTTGAAAATGCTTCAATACAGTAGCAAATAGAATAAAAAAAAAGAGAGAGTAAAGAGCGAAAAAGCAAATGATGTTTTTTTATATATATATGTTCTCTCAATCAACTCGTCTTCTTTTACTTTATTGCTCTTCTGTCTATTTAATAGTAGCAAACATATACATAAAGACGTTGTATATCTATTCTTTTTCAAGTGTTGATCCATGAAATTCAATTAAATCGAACAAAGACTTTTTTCTTTGTCATCATCGTCTATTTTTCTTCTCTTTACCGTAAAAGCCTTTTGAAGTGTGTATGTATGTGCACGACAATGCCATCACCACCATCACTGTCGTGTAAGCCAGAGGTAAGTCTAACCAGAAGCAGTAAATTTTTTTTTTTTTTTTTTTTTTTTTTTTTTTGTTGCTCTGATTATGTTTTTCTTTATGGAAGAGAAAATCTTTCATTCTTCTATATGTCGCTCATCAACTAATTGAAAAGCATAAGCACATACATATATAAATACATTGACACACCTGATGCGCATATGCAAGTTAGATCAACACGCAACATCTCTTGTTCTCGTCATCACCAATTGTATAAACAACATTTTTTTTTTTCATCTCGTATTTTCTCGCTCTCTTTCTCAATCTTTTTCTCTCTTAGTAGTCGTTACTTGTCGCCGTCTCCCTCTATATCATTGCTCTTCATTTCTCAATTAGGAAGAATTGTTCACTTCAAGTGTATGTCATTCACTTGGTTTTTTTTTTCGATCTCTTTTTTTTCTTTCTTTCTTTCGTATTATTGATCAAAACATAACTAGATTTTCATCATCATCATCATCACCTCAACAGTTATATACGCTCATACATACATACGTACATCGAAAAAAAAAAACAGAAAATCCTACTAGAAAAAGAAAAAGAGAGATGACACATGAAACAACAATCGACAATGGAAGTGCAACTGTCAGCACGGATGCTAACATGAACAAAAAAGCACTTCGGTTAAATAGTGATAAGATGCATCTGTTGTATAGACGACCGGTATGTGCATGCGTGTTTATACGAGCGATACGAGGCGATATTTGATCTTCATAGAAAAAAAAAAAAAAAAGACAATTGTTAAAATTGTATTTTTTTATCTTGATAATTAATCTAATCGATATTATTTATTCTAGGTTCGAACTTTATTCGTATCCGGTTTACCAATGGATGCTAAACCACGAGAACTCTATCTTCTATTTCGAGGATTTAAGGTAAATAAATTTATATGAATTAGATGTTGTTTTTGATTTTTTTGACATGAGATGTTATGTTTATATCACACCTACCTAGTAGATATCTCATTTAAAGTGTAGATGTTTTTTTTATAACATTTCATTTAAATAAATTTGATTGACGGATAGAAAGAGAAATATTTGTCATTAGAAACTTGTCTATTGACTGATCAAATATACAGTTGAATAGGACAAGTATGACCGATATGGTTATCATATTATTGTTGTTTTTTCTTCTTCTTTTATTTAGGGTTATGAAGGAAGTTTACTTAAAGTAACAAATAAAAATGGTAAAAATTTATCACCTGTTGGATTTGTCACATTTACTAGTCGAGTTGATGCTGAAACTGCTAAACAAGAACTAACAGTAATGCAAGAAAAAAAGAAAATTTTAATAATTTTTATTTTTGTTTTGATTGATTAGGGAGTTCGATTTGATCCTGATCTTCCAGCAACTCTTCGACTTGAATTTGCTAAATCGAATACTAAAGTTCAAAAACCTAAACATCCAAATCAAAATCAATTAACAGCTGCAACACAACAATATATTCAAATTCCACGTATGTTTATTTTTTTAATTAGATATCAATATCTTTTAATTTAAATTTGTATTATTATTAGAAGAACTTGGTGCTGCTTTCTTTCCTACGGAAGCTTGGGGTCAACCATTAACATTCGATTTAGGTCCAGCTGGTTTACATCATCCAGCTTTATTACATACAACTCTTCATGGTCCACCAATGGTAAGTTTTATTTTAACAAAAATTTTTCAAAACTCTATTAAAAACAAGCAAATTTCCTTCGTATATCTTATTTAAGTTGATAAGCTGATAGAGTATATTTATTTATGTAAGTATCGATATGTCGAAACGCATTTATAAAAAAAAAAAAAAAAATAAACAAACAAACAAATAAATCAGTATCGAACAGAAAAATCTTTCCACCTATTAGTCAATCGATCACTGACCACTGGCACGACTAGTGTCAATTTGTTTTATTTTATTTTATTTTTCTTACTCTATATTCGACACAGCTCCAAATAAACAACTTTTTTTTTTCACAATACACGCGCGCGCGTATACACTATTTAAAGCAGAATTCAATTATGACACCGGAGCGCATATGAGAAGTTTATTTTGTTATATACTTCTCTCACTATTTTTTATTCATTTATTTATTTATTTATTTATTCGTGTGTATTATCATCATGGAAAGACAAAATAAAGATAAAAATACATTATATTTTTCGTACGTTTTTGTCTTCTTTTCTTTATCATATGACGTTCGTCCATACGCGCGCGTGCGCATATTTTATATTTTATTTTCTATTTGTTCTAATGCACAAATTTGCTTGTTACACAATTCTCTTTTATTTTCATGCACAGATATTTATCTTTTTATATTTATTGTTTTCGTTTTTTTTTCATTCTTTTTAAATAGAGTTTGGGTCATCCAATGCAAGCCACTACAGGTATGACACAATTACAACAATCAAATCAAGCTGTAGCTGTTGCAGCAGCTAATGGACAATTGAATGGTGGTTGTTCAACATTATTTTTAACTGGCTTTCCTGAGCATGATTTTAAGAATATGTCATTTGCTTTGTAAGAAAATTGGATTTTGTTTTTTGTTTTTAAATAATTAAAAAATTTTTATTTTTTTTGTTTATATAAAAAAGGCCGGGCAAAGCTCTTTGACAATCAGCGTGTGATTCATATGATGACTCGTCCTCATCTTCATCAACTAAATTAACAACTGATAAACAACAAGTTCTTTCTGCTCTTAGTAATCAACCAAAACACCAACAACAACCAGTGACTCTTGTTGATTTAGTTGAAAAACAACAATTATCGCTCAAACGTTCTATGGATGAAAATCTATCAACATCGGATAAAAACATAAAACGTTTACGGCATCCATGATCAATTGATTATGTTTTTTCCGTTCTGGTATTTTGTTTTTCTTTTTTTTTACCTTGGTCCTATCCTATCCAAATGCCTGTCTGCCCAACAGTGATAATATTCAGTCTCATGTTGAATCACGAACGCCTCTTTATTGATTATTCTTCTCATGTTCTTCTTTTTTTCCTGTATTCTAACCTTGATCGTTTTCTTTTTCTTTCTTTTTTTTTTTTTTAATCAATAATCTCTTTTGGTATCTGTGTGTGTATGAATGTTTTACTTTTTTTTTGTTCGATCTCAATCTTGTATATTGTATGTAAGGCGCCATTTATATGGGCATTTATTCATATATATATATATGTACTGTTTTTTCTTCTTCTTTTTGGTCCGTCCATTCGCGCGCTGCATTTTGTTGATTTTCTCTGTATTTGTCGAGTGTTT